GATTAAACCCATCTCTGTGTGGTATTAGCTCTCGAACTTTCGATTCGGAGACATTCAAGTGTTGAACTTTCGATTCGGGGACATTTAGGTGTTGAACTTCCATTTCAGGGACATTAGGACCGGGGTCAAAGATTGGGCTCTATCTGTTATGATGCGATACTTCTCGGGGGGGGAAATAGACCGTTTTTCCGAAAAAGACTGAAATTGTTAAAAAAAAAAAAGGCTGAAATAGGCCTAGGCAAAAAAAACCGACCCGAAACCCGGACCGATATCTGGACCCAAAAAACCGGTTCGGGGCGGATACGGATAAGAGGAAATTATCTCATTGGGTACAGTTTTTGAAAACCCGTGGGTATCGGATCGGTCCGGATAATACACGTTACCCAAACATGATACCCGAATATCCGAACATATAATTAAATATCAAAAATATTAATTATATATAATTTAATTATCTAGAATTACAATTATAAATCTAAATATGTCAATTAACTTTAGACTTAAATACCCAAAACAACCAAACTATCCAAAAATTATTTATTATGTTTGTCAAAATTTAGCAAAATTTATTCAAATATAACTAAATTTATTAAAATTTAACAAATATTTAAGGTTTTTTTCGGATATCCGATATTTTACGTATAAAACCCGACATTTCACATCTAAAATACCCGAACCGAACGGGTACCCATATTTTTCGGGTATTTATAGGGTCTAAAATGTTTTACCCAAACCGATCCGAACCTGACGATACCCGAACCGAACCGGAACCAAATGTTTAGAAATACCCGAATGGGTCGTAAATTCATTACCCATTTAACCCAAACCCGAACGGGTTTTATCCGAATCCGAACGGGTTACCCATATGCCCAGGTCTAGGCTGAAACTACAATGGGCCCACCATCAAACGACAGTGTTTTAGAAAACGAAAAAAAAAAAAAAAAACTACACAAACGCCGTCGTGAAACCTTACCTAGTGAACTTCATTAGTGAACTTCACCGTCGCATTCGCGATTTGTTTCTATGAAAGGAGGGTTGAGAGAGTCGATCCTTTGAGGGTTCTTCATTCTGGGGGTTTTCTGAAGCGATCGATTTGGAGAATCTCGTCTATGGTTCTCGATTTTTCTATGTTTGAGCATTGTAGAGGCGAAATCGACCTGGTTGATTGCCATTACGTGTTTGGCTAAGGCTGCTCCGGATACTCAAAAGGGTCTGTTATCTCTTCTTATAATCTGGATATCTGCACTTGGTTTCGATCCTTTTTTATCTTGGATTTTAGTTTCACAACTGAGATTTGTTCCTTTAGAATCACGAGTTTTCACTTCTAAACTCAAATAAGAGTTTGAGTTTTGTATTATGATCTGGACTCGTATCGTATCATCTGTGTGTGGAAAGTTTATTTGAGAACAACACAAGTGGTTATATAGGATTAGAGCTTGTGCAAGATTAGAGGAGCACCAAACTGTGGGTGAATGGTGATGACTGTGTAAGGCGCGTGAATATAGGAAGGAGAAAGCTCAAAGGAAAATTTCTGTAGAATCAGTGCCATTGCCATTTTTGCCTCAAGCAATGCAAAATTCTGGCCAATGCATATCCTCGGTCCCCATGCAAAAGAA